TCAACTTTAAGCTTATTAAGGTACATGAAATATTCCTCAAGAAGAACAAAAAAGTGGAGCGTGTGTGAAGCATCTCTGCATAGCTACAAGTTAATGTATTTCAAGGCCATTCCTGATTCTTGCTGATTCTGACTTCAGTGGCATTTACTATAAACTGTCCTGAGTACTGTGGCACTGTAATGGTACTATGGCTTAATTATATGAGGCTCCTATATAATTCTCCCTCTTTGTTGTCTGACTTTTGATTCCCACTTACGTACAAAGCAAATGCATCCGAACAGCCATACTGGGTTAGACCAATGGTCTATCTCGCCCAGTATCCTGTCTTACAACAATGGCCAGTGTCGATGCTTCAAAGGGAATGAACAGAACAGGGCTATTATTGAGTGATCCATCCCCTGTGGTCTAGTCCCAGCATCTAGCCGGGATACCCAGTGCAAGGGGTCGCATCCCTGATCATCTTGGCTAATAGTCACTGATGGACCTATCCTCCATGAACTTATTTAGTTCTTTGTGAAGGCCAAAACTGGGTTCAACATCCCTGGCAACAAGTCCCACAGGTTGACTGTGTGTTGTATTAATTAGTACTTCCTTTTGTTTGTTTTAAACCTGCTGCCTATTAATTTCATTGGGTGCCCCCCGGTTCTTGTGGGGTTTATACCTTCACATAACACTTCCTTATTCACTCACTCCACACCAGCCATGATTTTATAGATCTCTATTGTATTCCCCCTCCCCCAGTCGTCTCTTTTCCAAGCTGAAATCTTTTTTTTTTTCTCTCTCCTCATATGGAAGCTGTTCCATTCCCCCTTTCCCCAAAGGCTCCCCAGTTCCTAATAAACCTAAAACCCTGCTTCCTATACCACTGTCTCATCCACACATTGAGACCCTCCAGCTCTGACTGTCTAACTGGCCCTGCACATGGAATTGGAAACATTTCAGAAAACGCTACTATGGAGATCCTTGACATTAATCTCTTACCTAGCAGCCTAAATTTGGCATCCAGGACATCTCTCCTACCTTTTCCTATGTCATTGGTACCTACATATACCACGACCACCGGCCACTCCCCCACACTGCTCATATGTAGGACCCTACCAAATTCACAGCCATGAAAAACATGCCACAAACCGCGAAATCTGGTCTCCCCATGAAATCTGCCTATTCGGGGGAAGGTCACAGTATTGCCCATCTGTAAGGCTGGCCCTGCCCCTCCCTCAAAAAGTGACAAGCTCCCTGCCATGCCACCCTCACTTCTTTGCTGCTGCTGCTGGCGGTGGTGCTGCCTCCAGAGCTGGACAGCCAGAGCGTGGTGGTTGCTGGCCAGGCAGCCCAACTCCAGTAGCAGTGCAGAAGTGAGGGTGTCACGGTGTGGGAGGGTTACCCCTTTCTTGGGGGGAAGGAAAGGGCCAGTCTTATGGGTGGTGCTGTGGTCACCCTCCTCTCCCCCTCACCCCCCCCCCCCAGCCAGTCCAAGGCCCCTTTAACCTCCAAGCTCTGGAGAGGGGAAGGACTGAGGGCGCCCTGGGGCTGGGTCGGACCCACTTCTGGCAGTGTCGCAGAAGTAAGGATGGCAATACCACACCATGCTACTCAGATGTCTTGGGAGATCTGCAACCTTCGCACCTGGCAGGCAAATCACCATGTGCCTCTCCTGGACATCACAAACACCGCTATCTGTATTTATTATGCTCAAATCTCCCCATTACTATTACCTGTCTCTTCCTAATGTCTGGGATTCCCTTCTCTGGAGAAGTAGCCTCCGTGTGAGAGGATGCCCTGACATCATCTGGAAGGAGTGTCCCAACTATGGGATCATTTCCCTCCACTTCAATTTGATGTTCTTCTTCCCTGAGACTTTCATCTGCCTCAACAGGACAGAGGCTGTCCGACCGGGGTGGGATCACGCTAGTGTCCCCAAAAGTCTCATCGATGTACCTCTGTCTCCCTTAGCTCTTCCAATTCAGCCAGTCTGGTCTCAAGCCCTTGCTCTCCATAGAGCGTATGGCCCTGAGAGACACTGAATGCACACAGGTGCTACCTGCCCATGCTGCATTCAGTGCAATAAACTGGATAGCCCCCATTCTGCTGCTGAGCTGCTGCCTGCACTCTTTTTACTCCTGCAGCTTTTTTTGGGCAGGGGGGAGATGGGGAGGAGACTGGCTGGGATGTTGATTGGCCTAAATTTAGACCAGTGGTGTCCAACTTTTTTATGCCCAAGATAACTTTTTGAATTTAAGGGCAACCCAGGATCTGCCCTGCTCCTTCCCCAAAGCCCCACTCACTCCATTTCCCCCCCCCCGTCACTCGCTCTCCATTTCCCCCCCACCCTCACTTTCACCAGGTTGGAGTAAGGGGTTGGGGTTCAGCAGGGGTTGTGGGCTCTGGGGTGTGGGGTTGGGGTGCACGAGGCACATGGCTCTGTGTGCTGCCCCTCTCTGCAAGCACTGCCCCTGCAGCATCCATTAGCCACAGCTGCCATTGGCTGCAGCTCCCCATTCCCGACCAATGGGTGCTGTGGGGGTGGTGCTTGCAGGCAGGAGCAGCGCACAGAGGGAGACCTCTGATCCCGGGGCTGCACTAGCTGCTTCCAGGAGCAGGGTGGGGCCAGCACAGGCAAGGAGCCTGTCTTAGCGGCAGCCCCGCTGTGCCACCAGAGATTGCGATCAACTGGGACATCCTCTAGGATTGACCAGTTGGTGACCAATGATTTAGACAAGGTTTGGTGTATCTGGGTGTCACGCTCCCTCACAAAACTCCCGTTTGCTGCTCTTGTTCGCTAGCTCCTATGGTTGCTTATGAGTTGCCTTTTTAAACCTATATTTTCCCTGAGTAACCCTGCCCCCTAGTTAATGGTTAATGGAGCCTAAAGGGATTAGGGGTCAAAGCCTCATTAAGAAACTCTCAGCCTTGCCGAACAGGCCACTAGACTCAGCACGGGGGGGGGCCTCCAAACCAACCACACTATATATTCTGCAGGCAAGCACACAACAAACAACTCACCCCAAGGGTCACATAGTCACTCCTCCTTCACCTGGAGAACTCCCTTGCAAAATTCCCATTTGCTGCTCCTGTTCACTAGCTCCACTGTAGAGACATAATCTCCGTCTCACTGATGCAGCCACTGTTGCCCTCATCAGGCCAAATGTGTTTTATGCTCTTTACAGTTCCTTACCTGATATTTTTGGGACAGAGATAAGCTGATAGCTTGAGAGCTGAAGGTCCCCGTGGATTTGGGGTTAGGTAGGTCAGGTAGGGTGGGAGAGGTATTCTGAAGTTTGTTAGGTTTTTTTGTTTTGTTTTGTTTTTTGCAGTGGAAAAATCCAAGGTATGTTATTAGTTGAACTGTATGTTTTACATCTTAAATTTCTATTGAATGTTTTTTCAATACCAGTAAACTGCCCAGAATCTAGGGTGAATTCAGCTTATATTGAAATAGGTAATAAATATTTGGCTGCTGTTCCTCTCTGGAAGGAAGCATGCTGGGGAAATCGTGTGGCTATCTTATTCTCACTTTCTGGTGGGAGCAGTTGCTAGTTGGTTGGACCCACATTCTGCTTCACTGGGACCCTGTGCCAATGTGAAAGAGTTACAGCAGCACTATAGGAGTTCTGGTACGTTTTACAAAGCATGTTAAGGGAGATCTGCTGCCATGGGGAGAAGCAGAGAGATGCTGCATCTGGCCATCTGCTGATAGCTGCTGCTCCTGGAGTGCCAACCTGTAGAGGCCGAGAGATTGTGGGGTGCCTTCAGATAGGATTTACTCTAGCTGCTGAAGTGGCAAATGAGAGGAAAAGAGGAAGAAAAGCCTGATGTATCAAGGGTACTTAATAGATTGAAGGAAAGATTTCATATCAAACACCTGACCCTGTAGGCCCTGTCACTAAAAAGTGTTTGTACTCCTTTTCCAACAACCAGTTGGAAGCAGTTATAAGCACTGCTCAGACAGCTTTCGTGCAGCCCTGTCTATGATATCAGTTGCCCCATTGATGGAAAACAGGTGCACAGTTTTCTAAAGGTGCATTTACTATAATTCTAAAGGCACAAACATCATTTTTCCAACCTTGTATTTTCTCATGAAGTCCCTTTTTTAGGAGCATTAAGTGGATTTTGAACTTGGCTGCTTTATCAGTACTGGGACTAGTGTTTGCTTCAAGGGACGTCATCAAGTGTTTCAAGTCCAACACTTGGGTTTGTGAAAATTTTACTTTGCAGAAAACCAAGTTATTAATTCTGTTGCCCTTTTTTGACCTGAGCAGCTAGTTAAAGTTTGGGGCCCTGGGGAATGTTCCAGCTAGAAGTAGAAATTGATGGAGTCTGGTATTTTCTTTGCAATCTTTCCTTTATTTAAAAGGAATGTATGAAGTCCTGTCTCTGAATGCAGAAGGGACCAAGAACAAAAGGAGCCGTTTCTTAATTTACAGCTCCCAAGCCTCTTTAGCCAACACCAGAGCCAAAAGTGCGCACTCTAGCTTTTTCGGAGGTGTCACTGTTTGCTTAGAGGCTCCTGCTTGTCTTTCTTGACTATCCTCTTCCCCCCCCTCCCCTGTAACCCCTCCTCCACCCGCACTTGTCTTTCCTCCCTTTGTGTGATCTCCCTTTTCTCTCACATACATACATACATACCTACCCTACCCTACCCTACCCTACCCTACCCTACCCAAAACAATACTCAGCCAAAGCTCCTGGGCATGTTGACACACCTTTTTGTTTTAGGTGGGGGGCTTATGGTTCTAGTTAGGTTAATTGAATGGTGAGTTCACATCTGTCAATTTCAGCAGGAGGTTAAGTCCACTCATAAAGTTTCATACAGCTCATAGCAATAGAAATGTCTTCATTACTTTCCTAGAAGACTTTTAAACAACTCAAACATTTGAAGCTTGTTGCATGTGGCTTTAAAACTTTCCCTTTTACTAATAACCTTGGTAAAAGGTCTGAAGGTCACCCTCGGTAACTGAGTATTAAATTGGGGTCTGTTCTGGTTCTGTCTTGTATTTCAGTGACCACAAGGGGAAAAAACAGAACACTGAAAAGAGGAACGAATTCTCATTGGACAAGACAAAGTCATCGATTTGTAAAGAGAATAAGAACTCTGGCAAGACAAAAATGTCTGAACCAGCCTCGGAAGATGGTAAAAGATCTCCCACATCTGATAAATGGAAGAAGGAGCATAGTTTTACAGAGAGTAAGCAAAGAAATAAAGATACTGAGTCTTCTAATGGACGTGAAAGCAAAATACATAGCTCCAGTAGTTCTAAAAATATGTCCCAAAGCATCAATCCTGAAAACACAAAAAGTGACTGCAAAGAAACAACCTCTGCAGCCAGCAAAAAACCTTCAGAAAAGCACCATTCCCCTAGAGCCAGCAAAAAAGACCTATTGCCAACAAAAGGGTCTTGTAAGGATCTTTCCAAACAGAGAAACTCTGAGGACACAGGAAAATTAAAACAAACGCTTAGTGTGGAAAACAAACCAAAGTTGCCCAGTGATGAGGACTTTGAGCCCCCCACTATGTCTTTTGAATCCTATCTTAATTATGATCAGGTTTCAAATAAAAGAAAGAGGAAGACTTGTACTACAAGTGAACAGTCAAAAAACATTAAGGGCTGCGAACAGAAAAACTGCTCGTTATCGCCGAAAACTTCAATATCCCCTGTCACAAAAGAGAGAGAGGAAAAACCACACAAATCAGAAGATGATCAGTCAGAAAGTCCCACTAAAAAGGTAAACTATTATTTAGTCAAGCTAACATGAAATAAAGTACTAATTTGTTTGAGTTAATTTATTAACAAATTTATTTTGCAGTTTAATTCTGTATGTTTTAACTCAAACCTTAGATTGCATGGCTTTGACATATCAGCCACACATAGAAGTGGTTACTAATAATTGGGAATCATTTTTGACCCAGAAAAATATGACTGTAGTTTATTTTTTTGGATCAAATAATGAGTAAAAATTAAATGTTAGAGTGCAAAGTCAAGCGCCAAAAAAATAAAACTGCAGATTTGAGATTACCCTTGAAACCTTAATTGTGCCTCCTTGTGCATATGGATTATGATGGTCTTTAATGATGTGATAACACTGTTTTTCCTGAGTCATGGCCTAAGTAAGGCAGAGTCCTGTGGAGAAGTGCTCTTATTGACGAAATCCCTTAAACATGTACTTTAAGAACATGAAGTCCCTTTGGATTCCATATGATTGAAACACAGGCTTAAAGTTCTTTTCTGAGTAGGGATGCACTTAGTGTGTTTCCTTGAATCAGGGCCTTATGGACAGAATAGTTTGTGCTTCAGGCCTTGGCTACACTTGCAGCTGTACAGCGCTGTGAGTTAAACCTGACTTCGTGCAGTTGAGTAGGGAAAGCGCTGCAGTCTGTTCACACTGACCGCTGCCCAGTGCACTGTCGTGGCCACATTTGCGGCAATTGCAGCGCTATTGGGAGCAGTGCATTATGGGCAGCTATCCCACAGAGCACCTCTTCCCATTCTGGCTCCATGGGTTGTGGGAAGGGGTGTGGGTGCGGGGCATTCTGGGTCGCTTCACATCCCAGAAATCCCTTTGTTTCCGTCCACCTTTGGCGCCCTCTTTCAACTGTTTCTGTGCAGCGCGATCTGTCTGCGGGAAATGGAGCCGGAACTGCTGAGGCATATGCTGACTTATCTCGCCAGCACGTCACGTTTGGCTGTCGAACTATTCCTTAAGATCCAAAGTGAGAGTGAGGAGTCCAACGATGCTATCGAGCAGCGTAACGCATACAACACGAAATTGCTTGTGGCATTCACGGACACGTTCAGCACCGTGGAACGCCGCTTTTGGGCTCGGGAAACAAGCACCAAGTGGTGGGATCACATCGTCATGGAAGTCTGGGATGACGAGCAGTGGCTGCAGAACTTTCGGATGAGAAAAGCCACTTTCATGGGACTGTATGAGGAGCTCGCCCCCACCCTGCGGCGCAAGGACACAAGATTGAGAGCTGCCCTGCCAGTGGAGAAGTGAGTGGCTATTGCAGTCTGGAAGCTGGCAACTCCAGACAGCTACCGGTCGGTCACAAGTGGGAAAGTCGACCGTTGGAATCGTGTTGATGCAAGTTTGCAAGGCCATTAATCGCATCCTACTCAGAAGAACTGTGACTCTGGGTAACGTGCAGGAAATAGTGGATGGTTTTGCACAAATGGGGTTCCCTAACTGTGAAGGGACGCACATTCCTATTCTGGCACCACCCCACCTAGGATCAGAGTACGTTAGTCGGAAGCGGTATTTCGCTATGGTTCTCCAGGCGCTTGTGGATCACCGTGGGCGTTTCATTGACATTAACACAAGCTGGCCCGGAAAGGTGCATGACGTACGCATCTTTCGGAACACTTGGCTGTTCAGGAAGATGCAGGCCGGGACTTTTTTTCCAGAGTGGAAGATCACGGTAGGGGAAGTTGAAATGCCCATTGTGATCCTTGGAGATCCCGCTTACCTGTTAATGCCGTGGCTCATGAAACCCTACACAGGGAGCCTTGACAGCAGCAAGGAACGGTTCAACTACAGGCTGAGCCGGTGCCGAATGACTGTGGAGTGTGCCTTTGGCCGTTTAAAGGGCCGCTGGCGATCTCTGTATGGGAAGCTGAACTTGGCCGAAAACAGCATCCCCGCGATTATATCCGCGTGCTCTGCCCTCCATAATATTTGTGAAGGGAAGGGTGAAAGCTTCACTCAGGCATGGCCCTCGGAGGTTCAACACCTGGAGGCTGAATTTGCACAGCCAGAGAGCTATTTGCTATTTGCACAGGGGCCCAGCATGGGGCTGCAAGGATTAGGGATGCCTTGAGGGAGCAATTTGAGGCTGAAAACCAGCAGTGATATCTGGTGCCCTGCACGGGAGTGAAGTGCAGTAGTTCCAATCTTTAGGAATCAGTGTCTGCTAAGCAGACGAGCAGACTTGCAGTGCCTGTTTATTTCCTGGGCTATGGAGTCTTTTACTTTTATGCAATAATAAAGAATGTTTTCAAAACCAAATAATCCATTTATTTAAAAGAAAAAAAAATATTGATTGAAAAGAAACAAGGGGGTGGAGTGGGGAACGGTACAATCACAGATTTGCATATGTCCTGTCTGGTGTGCTGTGCAGTGAGTGCTGCACTTCAGGATAGCTATGCTGCATGGTGATGGGGGTTGAGTGCAGAGGGTAAGGGCCGTGGTTTTCAGGGCTGGGTGGTGAAGATACTGGTGTTGGAGGCAGCGGGTGGCATCAAGAACACGGAAGTTGGGGAAAGGCGGTTGGAGGTGACAGTGGGGCACAACGGAAAGAGTTTTGGGACAAGGGCTGGGGGGGGAGGTAGAATTTGCGGTACTGCTCCTCTTTCTGCATGGCTACAAGCTCCTGGATAGTGTCTGCTTGGCACTCCAGGATGCTTATGAGCCGATCCGTGCTTTGCTGCGGGTGCTCCGTGCTTTGCCGCCGGTGCGCTGCGTTTTCCTGGCGGATCCTGCTTTCTCTCTCCCTCCAGTTCTGTGCTTTCTCATTCTCTTTAATAGATTGCCGCATCACTTCTTGCAGCATGTCGTCTTTGCTTTTTTGCGGTCTCTTCCTGAGTCTTTGCAGCCTCTGAGCAGGCGATAAGAGGGACGGCTGAGGTCTCAAGGTTGATGCTGCTGTATAGGCAAAATGCAACATTTAACAGAAGCAGCATTGTTTATACTAGACAGAGTAATGATTCCCCCCGCACTTAAGGAGTAGAAAACACACAGGGTCTACACAATTGCATAATTTTCCCGTTCGAAACAGAGCACACGTATCCCACAGGAGCCTCAAAATAGTGAGTAAGTGGGACTGATTGTTTCAGGGCTGCACTGTCCTCTGGGTTTCTGTGCCTTGGGGAGAGCCAACAGCTTCAGGGGGCACCTACACTGAACACTGTCCCAACATTTTTCACAGGAGTTCGTCCTGGATGATATCTCGCTGCTGAGGGTGACCTGGGAAGCAAGGGAGGGTCTTCTACTGCAATGCGGCTTCCGCCCTGGCCCATATGCAGCTTGCCTGTGTACAGCAATGGTCCCCTCCCGCCCCTCGCAGCACCGTGGCGCAGACACGTTAGCTTGGCTGGGACAAGGACCACGGTAGCTCTCCCGATAAACCTGCGCAAGCGCATTGCACACGTTCTGGATGAGACATTCGAGGACATTACTGAGGCAGATTACCGCGATGTGATAAACCACATCAATGCACTATTCCGCATCTAGGCATGCATGCCTAACCCTCCTCTCCCAAAGAGCCCGCACCAAAAAAATTCCTTTCCGAAAAAAAACCCCGCTTACTTGGAACCTGCTCTTCTGTTTGTCCTCCACCAAGTACCAGCTGCGAGTGGCTACCTTCCTCTTGGCTCAAGAAGAGCTCCTGGCTGCATGGCTCCAGGGATTCCGGGGTGTCTCCATCTGACCCACCACCATCACTCCCGTTTTCCTCCTCCCCCCCCCCCCCAGCACCCCCCACTGGCTCTGAAGTGTCCATGGTGGTGCTCGGAGCGGAGGTGGGGTTAACCCCAAGTATCGCATCCAGCTCTTTGTAGAATCGTCAGGTCGCGGGGGGAGCACCCAAGCGGCCGTTTGCGTGGCGGGCTTTGTGGTAGGCACGCCGCAGCTCCTTCACTTTAATCCTGCATTGCAGGGCGTCCCGGTCATGGCCCCTTTCCATCATGTCCTTTGATACCTTCCCAAAGGTATCGTAATTCCTACAGCTGGAGCGCAGCTGGGACTGTACAGCTTCCTCCCCCCAAACACTGAGGTCCAGCAACTCGCCATTGCCCATGCTGGGGCTCGCGTGGAGGCATGGACACCTGGAAAGATTCACTGATAGCACTCCATGCCACGCTAGACTGAGCAAACAGGAAGGGGATTTTTAAAATTCCCGGGGAATGTAAAGGGTGGGTCACATGGTCGGTTACCTGAGGCTAGGGCAGTAGAGTTTGAACTGATGACCAGAGTGACTATAACAGGCGTTGTGGGATACTGCAGAATAATTTTGGAGGCCATTCACAGTGCATTGGGTGGCCACACTGGTGCCGCAGCGCTGCAGCGGCAGCGCAATACTCGCTATTCCTGTCTGGGACGTGGAGTACATGCAGCGCTGCAAATGCCTTGCCAGTGTGGATGGGGAGTGAGTCACAGCGCTGGGGGCGGCTTTACAGCGCTTCAACTCGCAAGTGTAGCCAAGGCCTCAGTAAAAAGGCAGCTGTCCAATAATTTATCCTCAATGTGTGGTAGCTCTATACTTAGTGCACAACATCAAGAACCGACACCAAATGAGTGTAAAATTCCCTATGGGCTTTCTTATGGCACTCATCACAATAAATAACTGATTCTCATCATCAAATCAATTTATCTTCACAACACTTGAGTGGGAGTAGAAGACTTTTAGAGTTGGGGGTATGAGTCTTAGGGAGCCAAAGCCCAAAATTTGCAAAAGTCTTGAGTGACCAGTGATTGGGCACATAACTTACTTTAAAAGACTTTTTTTTTATTATTATTACCTTGTAGCATATGCAGATCCCATTGTCTTCACTTGCAGTAGTATGTACTTGGCACTTCAGAAAACTCAGGAGCCTGGTGCCTCAAGTTGGACAGGAACACACAATTAGTGGCCATCTGTGGGACACTTCGTCAGAAGTTTTCCCCAGGATAGTTTTCAACTGCCCTCTAACCATACAACCATCTCTTCTCTTCTTGCAGTCCCCTCATTCACTACCCGCCTTGCAACTTCTCCAATGATTTGGACCAGCATCCTATCGATGAAAGTCTCATTCACTACACGCTTGTGATTCATTCCTGAGCCCATCTTGTGCACAGATTGTGGCAAGGGACCTGTGACATACTGGGTTTTTATATGCAATATAGTGTTGGTGATGAGTGAATGGATAAAATGAAAAGTAATTCATAGTTACGGTGAAGTAATGTTTAGTGTGAGAAAGCAACAAGTCATTACCCTGAAACGCTTTTGCTTTAGTATTTGATGATGTATTTGAAGACTTCTTTATCCTAAATAAGAATTAAGGATATTGTAATGGTGTTTCCTTGAATGCATGTAGGCCAAGACAGCATCGCTCCAAGATCTACTTAATACTCCACTGCCTAAATTTCTGCCAGAGATATCCTTATCTTCTCCCCCATATTCTACGGAGTTCAAAGGTAAGTCATATGCAAGACTGTTCCCGATGAGACTAAAATGAGCACAGTTAGCAGAGCAGTCCTGCTAAGTGTGGGGTGTATTGCACCTCACAAAAAAACATGCCAGTGTTTTGTGCCAGTGCAGTACTTCATCTTCTGCACTGGCTCCCACATAGGGATCCACTAGATTCTGAAGGTAGTACGTTGCATACAGGAGCAGATTCCCCAGTTCCACTCACTTTGACAAGGCCTTCAACGCTTGTGGAATCCAAACCATACAGAGATGGCGGGGGTGGGGCTTCCATGGATGTGGAAGAAGCTGTTGAGGGGAGGGAGCATGCCACATTCATCTAATTTTCTTTCAGGCACACTGGCTTTCTTTCTCCATTTATTCTTTGCTCTCTTGTGCACCTCTGTCAAGGCTGTATCCCCACTTTGAACTTTAGGGTACAAATGTAGGGGCCTGCATAAAAACTTCTAAGCTTAACTACCAGCTTAGCTTTGGTTTCGCTGCCAGCATTTCAATGGATTCCCCCCCTGGGAAGCCTTGAAAAACCTTCACCAATTCCCTGGTGAATCAAGATCCAAACCCCTTGGATCTAAAACAAGATGAAATTAACCATTCCCCTCCTTCCTCCCACCAACTCCTGGTGAATCAAGATCCAAACCCCTTGGATCTTAAAACAAGGAGAAATTAACCATTCCCCTCCTTCCTCCCACCAACTCCTGGTGAATCAAGATCCAAACCCCTTGGATCTTAAAACAAGGAAAAATCAATCAGGTTCTTAAAAAGAAGGCTTTTAATTAAAAGAAAAAAGTAAAAATTATCTCT